ATTTGCATACATTTTATCCTCTCGAAAATTGGTGGAAGGCAGACAGTGAGTATTTGATCACAAGAGACAGACGACTTGTCAAGGGAAGCCAGTGTGGAGACATTTCGTCAGATTGGGTCTGGTTGGTCGCACCTCATTCTGAGCGGGTCGTTTAGCGGTCCCGGCGCGGCCGGCGGCGGCGCCGCGCTCCGCCGGCGCTCCCATAAAGCGGTCGGGCCGTGGCGGCGCGCGGCGCTCGTCAGTCGGTGGCCGTCCGTCGCCTGTCGCCCGGCGCCGCCAGCCCAGCGTGCCCTCGGGCGTCGTCCCGGCCTATTGGCATGGAGGTCGGCGGCGCCAGCCGGCCGGGCCGGCCTCCTAAATCGGCGGCCGGCCCCGAGAGGCGGCGGTCAGCGGCCGCGGTGACCGCCGGCCCGGGCGGTCACCCGTCACCCGTCACCGGGAGCTGCCCCTCCCCCTCCCACAGACGGAATACTGCGGTCACCCGTCACCGGGAGCTGCCCCCACAGACAGTATACCGCGGTCACCCATCACCGGTCACCGGGAGCTGCCCCCACAGACAGTATACCGCGGTCACCCGTCACCGGGAGCTGCCCCCACAGACAGTATACCGAGGTCACCCGTCACCCGTCACCGGGAGCTGCCCCCACAGACAGTATACCGCGGTCACCCGTCACCGGGAGCTGCCCCCACAGACAGTATACCGAGGTCACCCGTCACCCGTCACCGGGAGCTGCCCCCACAGACAGTATACCGCGGTCACCCGTCACCGGGAGCTGCCCCCACAGACAGTATACCGCGGTCACCCGTCACCGGTCACCGGGAGCTGCCCCCACAGACAGTATACCGCGGTCACCGCCGGCCCGGGCGGTCACCCGTCACCGGTCACCGGGAGCTGCCCCCACAGACAGTATACCGAGGTCACCCGTCACCCGTCACCGGGAGCTGCCCCCACAGACAGTATACCGCGGTCACCCGTCACCGGGAGCTGCCCCCACAGACAGTATACCGCGGTCACCCGTCACCCGTCACCGGGAGCTGCCCCCACAGACAGTATACCGCGGTCACCCGTCACCCGTCACCGGGAGCTGCCCCCACAGACAGTATACCGCGGTCACCCGTCACCGGGAGCTGCCCCCACAGACAGTATACCGCGGTCACCCGTCACCGGGAGCTGCCCCCACAGACAGTATACCGCGGTCACCCGTCACCGGGCTTGGGCTGCCCCCCCCCCCCCCCCACCACCACCACCACACACAGACAGAAGGGAGGTATACTGTGGTCAGCCGTCACCAGGGCAGATGCTGGGCGGGGCTGGGAGCTGCGCCTCCCCCCAGACAGTATATACTCTGTCGCTCACGCCCAAAGATGGAGTTGGCAGCTTGCAGCTCTTGCATACTATTTATGTTGTGTAAGAGACATGAGAGACGACAGTATAACAATATACTCTTATATGAAGTTTGCCACTATAAAGTGTGTACCTACGTGTATTGCTCACATGGCGACTTATCACAAAATAATAAATGAACTCAGTTGCAGTGTCATATGTTCGTTTTTTACCTTTATCTTTACATTGCATTGGCCGTGACATGTACTTTTACCTGGTTAATGTAGCATATGAGGCATTGTAATGTATCTTCACAAATCGCACCCGATGACATATTTGCTCTGCTTGCTTTATTGTCACCGGGGAGGAATGCGCATAATTACCGGGCTAAGTTAGGTTTAGTGCTTAGTAATGAAGTTGACTTGCTATGATTATATAGAAATGCGACGTAGGTATTTCCCGTTTACTGGTGGTGGCAAATTGATAGCTTCTATGGCGCTTTCCGACAATTTGTGTAGCTTTGCGACGAGAATATTGACGAGTTATTGCACCATTTGCTAGCACCGCATTTGATCATTTCCAGATGTCAGTGAAGTGAAGTTTGATTTTCTTGTAATAAAAAGGACTAGAAGAGTGGACGTGAATTCATGCGCTCATAGTTCGAAAGTTCACTCACGTTCCGCGGAACTGCAGCATCCACCCACGCCTGCTCATGCCTGTAGACTGGGCATGAAGCTGACGGTCTCGCTTAGATCCGGTGACAGTCACACACCGCTGATTGCACGTCCCTTGATCACTTCTCAAGTGTCCATTGGCGGTGAAAGGATCTGGCATTTTGGCAGTCCGCCACCCGGGCTGACATTTTGACGGGCTTGCCTTCCTTGTCACATCAAGCCCTCGGGCAGTTGTATCACCCGGAACTCTGTTCCGCAATTCCATTTCGCCGAGGCGGAGGGTGGCCGGCCCGGGTGGTGCTGGCTGTGAAGGCAGTGGGTGTGGTGGCGCGGCGGGGCCTGTCATGCGTCCCGCACGGCCCGGCTCGTGGGCCGCGGAGGCGCCGGCACCTCGGACGGCCCGCCGCGGACGCCGCCAGCCCCGAGGTGTCCATCAGGTGGGGCGCCCGACGGCCGCCGGCCCGATCCCCATTTGTAAATTAAAGCGAGTGGGGCGGCCGGCGGCGCGCCGAGGGGCGGCAGTCCGCGGACGCCGCACGGTGGACCGTGGACGCCGCACGGTGGACCGCGGACGGCGGACGGTGGACCGCGGACGCCGCACGGTGGACCGCGGACGGCGGACGGTGGACTGTGGACGCCGCACGGTGGACCGCGGACGGCGGACGGTGGACCGCGGACGGTACACGATGGACCGTGGACGGCGGACGGTGGACTGTGGACGACGGACGGTGTGCGGCTCTGAGGGTGGTGGATGGTGTCCGGTGGCCGGTGCCGAGGGTGGGTGGACGGTGGCCGGTGCCGAGGGTGGGTTGACGTACGGTGGACGGTGGGCGGACGGTGGAGGGTTGACGTCGGACGGCGCACGGTGATTGTGAAGCACGAGCACCTGGCAACTGTCTGTCAGAACTGGACGCACGGCGCCGCTTAGCTAATTGGTGCCAGCCGCGTGCCAGGAGCGTGCTGGAAATGTCCCCTACCGGGGGCACGCTGTTATTGTTCCCTTCCTGTGCAGGGGCGGGCTAGAAATGCCCCGTTTCTCTTGTTCCATTTTGGTATCGTATTTTTCACTCCTAGTTCTTTTCACTTTGTATTTTATTTCCACAAGTCAATATTTAACTTGGTTGTTTGAGCTATCAAGTCTGTTTGCATGGGCTGAATCTTCCACATTTGACGGTTGTTACGACAGCCACTGAGCGGACTTTTAGGCCTCAGCAGCTGTCATCGGAGGCTGCCGTCAGACCTCAGTTGCACCAACTACATGTTTTGCCCGATGCCATTTATGCAGACACACATTCTTCGCTTTGCATCCCTGTTTGTTATTTGCTCAGGACTCAGTTATCTCAGAAGATGGCTGTCATCCATTCCTGTGCCTAAGCAGTATGGGGTATAATCGTGGGTGGTCCTAAGCACAATTATCACCTTCACATAACATCGGTGTCTGCTCGCTGTCAGGCGCGGCAGGTGTACGCAGAGCCAGGTGCGACTGGTCGACGCTCCTCCCCGCCGGCCCAGGAGCGGTGGTCGGCGGCGCCGCTGTGGCCGCGGCCCGGGACCGTCTCTGGACCTGTCTCGGCGCAGGTCAGACAGTCAGTGCGTGGCGGACAGACCCCGCTGCCTGGCCACCCCTACATCAGGTAATTGAGACAAGCGGGCCGCTGCGACACGCCGGGATAAATCAATGAGTCGCCGCCGCCGTCGCCGTCTCCGCCGGTGGCCCCGTCCGCCTCTGACGACGTCGCACGCGACGCACCGTTGGCGGAGCGTTAAGTTGGCGTCGGTGTCGGTGCGGGCGGGAGGCGCGGCGCCGCGGCCGGTGGGATGTGCTCCGATCGGCCGTACCGGAACTGGCCGCAGACGCCGCGGCGCGATTTGAGACGGCTGATGTGCCGGCTTAACGACTCTGTTGTTCGCAGCGCCGGATCAATTACCGGTGATTCACCTGCAAGAATGGCATGTTTGTGTGCTGACAGAGACCCCCCCCTCCCCCCGCCCCGACGGCGGCCGCCGAGCCCTGAGGCGCTGCGACTGGGGAGCGGTGCCCTAGGGCGCTGCGACTGGGGAGCGGTGCCCTGGGGCGCCGCGGCTGGTGCTGGGGTCAGCGGGCTGAGTGTACGTGTAGGTATGCATGAGTGACGTGATTGTACGAGTACAGTGTACAGCGTGTGCTTTGAACCGCACTATTGTATTGTAGTCTGTAGACTTTGTTTTCTGTGAACTGTCATGTGTATCTGTGGACATCAAAAAGGAATGCGACTTCCTGACGCGAGGGACATACCTACACATTACACAACCCACCTCCGTTTGTGTACGATTCCGGGTGCGATGTCCTAGCCTGGTGTGATTGCGGTTATTAAGCATGCCGTTCCCACGCTTCCTAACGACATTTGTGAATTATAGACTGCATACCTGAGCGCTTAATGAGACATTAGTGTGCAGACTCTGCATACAAAGTAACATTGATCCGTGACACTCACGTCCACTGTTCAGGAGCTTCGCTGCCTGGCCGCTCCAAAGGTCCTCCCTTTCACACACCGGCCTTATCCTCTCCTTTATTATATCGGAATCATCTCATCCACAACCGACCATTGCCAAGCCACAACCACCGCCAAAGTCCGGCTCCGCACAGCACGCCGTAGTCGCCGTATACCGTATACGTGCACCATATGTATACCGTGCACATGGACAGCCCGCCTCGGTAGGAGCGGGGCAGTGGGCGAAGCGCGTGACTGGTGAGCGAGGCGCCTCCCGCGGCCGGCGCTGCGCCAAGTGGGCCGGCTGGGGACGCTTTGCTCCGCTGAGGTAGTTGAAGCACGCGCGCAGGATCAGGAGTGACGCAGAGGTCTCCGGCAGAGAGCAGGGCGGCGTATAATGCTGTGGAGACAGCTCGATCTAAATACAGGCGCTGGCCTAAATCATGGAGCACTGAAGACACCCACCACGGCCAGCAGCAGCTGTCAGTTGGCTGAAAATATCAAAGTACCAGACGAAATGATAGATGGTTGTACGTGTATGGAATTTTATTTGGACATAGTTTCCATGATTTGCACCATTTTCCATTACCGGTAACACATGCGGCAGGGTGAAGGCGGGGTCAGCGCGCGGCGCCGGCGCCTGACGCGGTTACACTGGACACTACAGGTGTACCCAATGTGACAACCCGGCCCGGCCCGGCGAGCGACCAGGCCCGGTGACGCCTCCCCTCTACGGCGGCTGACACGATTCTGGACACGCTGGCCAATATACAGCGAAGGTGTGCCGATCACAAGACGCTAGATAAAGAACGCTACATAGTTTCATTCATCAACATTTGCCGGCTGCGCCGCACGGGATGCCGGGGATATGTGCGAACAGCGCCCGGCTTACGGTGCGGCCCTGTCGCGCTGGCAGCCGGCATCCGCACGGGCGCCGCGTAACAAGCGAATGGCGAGACGACGCGCCCACACCGCCCCACTGGGGTCGGCCGTGGACTGCGCGTAAGCAAACCCGCCCGAACACCACCGCTATTCCGGACACATAGTAGTGTGTGGAATCACTGGTTAACGAAAACACTTTGCGGCGCTCGAAGGAAATATGAAAACTGGGAGCTGATGGGGCGCATTATACTTATTACTTTGTTACAGTGAGGTGGGACATGTGGCTCACTTTTTGCTTCGAATTCGTTAATAGAAGTGACAAATGATCAAGGATGTGGACAAAATGATCTGGGCTTTGATATTGATATACCGACCGGCGACCCTATCCTTCTAACTTGACTGAGCTAGGACTACAAAGTAAGCATCTATACACGCAAACGAATAATGAACAATACAAATGAGCACAAATGATCACATGGCTATGCCGTCGCTGAAGAGATGCAAAAACAGGCAGAACTGTCGACTAGACGCAGCGCGCGGCTCAAATCGCTCTCTGTGATATGACTCGTTGGGTGGAGCGCAATAGCGTCCCGCGATATGTGTGGGGTGAGATCACAAATAGCTGATTGACTAGAGCAATGTCAGGTACGTGATCTACATATCGACTAAAAATCAGATGCATTTAATCCGAAACAACCTTGAGTGCAGCATGATATGCAACGAATCGGTGAGGTTACAGGAGCATAACACGAATGACGAACTGTCGCCATACCCGGTATTTCAGACAAATACGATCCGACAAAATATCCCGTCCCCCATTTTCTAAGCAGTACATTCAGTACATTCGCCAGAACAGTTATTCACCGCGGTTTTGAAGCATGGTATGAGCGCTGGGGACCGGCTCGGTGGCGGCCGGCACCCCGTGTACCGGCTCGGTGGCGGCCGGCACCCCGTGTACCGGCTCGGTGGCGGCCGGCACCTGCATGTCTGTGTCTCGGGAGCTGCCGCGGCCGGTTAGCCCGCCCTGGAGGCGCTCTTCGGGCCGCTGCGGTCGATCCCGCTCCGCCTCCCGCCGGCTGAACGGCCGCCCAGCCGCCCTATTGCACAGGTCACCGATATAAAACGCGTCGTTGCGGCGGCCGCCGGTGCCCCAGGGCCGCGTGAGTTTGGATTGCATGTCTCTCTCGCCGCCAGTCTCGAGCCGGGCCTGCAGTCGCCGCCTCGGGTGCTCTTCCACGGCCCCTGATAGGAGGGAGTGACCAGCTCCCGGGGCCGTTCCCGGCGGCTACCGGCGCTCGTAGGACAGCCTCTGTGGCGGAGCGACTCGGCCTCAGTCCCTCTCAGTCCCTCAGCCGGCGCGGCCCGACCTCAGTCCCTCTCAACCCCGTCAGCCGTATCCCTGAAAGCCGAGCGGGTCAGGCTCGGCTTTCATTGTCTGTCAGTGGTGCTGCGCGGCGAACTTCATCCGCTTCTGCTTCTGGCGCTGGTTGCAGAACCACACGCGCACCACGTTCTTCTTCAGGTCGAGCTTCTCGGCGATGGCGGCGATCTTCTCGCCGCTGGGCCGCGGCTGCACCGTGAAGTACGCCTCCAGCGAGCGCTTCTCGGGCGCCGCGATCGACGTCCGCTTGCGCTTCTTCTCGGCGCTGGGCAGCACAGACGGCGCCTCGGGGTCGCGGCGCTTGTTGCGCGCCTGCGCCTCGGCCTCCTCCAGCCAGGCCTGCAGCACTGGCTTCAGCGCGATCATGTTGTTGTGGCTGAGCGTCAGCGACTCGAACCGGCAGATGGTCGACTGAGAGAGCGCGCCGACGCCCGGCAGCTTCAGGTTGGCCAGCGCCCGACCCACGTCCGCCTGCGTCACGCCCAGTTTGATGCGCCGCTGTTTGAAGCGCTCGGAGAAGGCCTCGAGCTCGCGCGGGTCGGTGTCGGCGTCGTGCAGCCCCACCTGGTGGTGCGTCATCATGGTGTTGATGGGGTGAGAGTAGACGGGCGCGTGCAGCTGCGCGCCGTGGTGGCCGGCGTCCGACATACCGCCCAGGCCGGGCATCGAGGTGGGCGCCGCGCCACTCAGGTGGTCCATCATCTCCAGACCCTCCGAGTAGGGCGGACACATCTGAAATAACGGCACACGTCAGTACAGGTTACATCGTCTCCAGACCCTCCGAGTACGGCGGGCACATCTGAAACGGTGCGGCACGTCAGCCCACTTAACATTACAGTCCGACCTGCATATGACCTAACCTTCCCAGAATGTCGAAGCCGTTATTGATATTAAAATGTTTCTGACGATTGATGCCCACCTATCACCTATTGATGCCATTGCCCATCTATCTCCTTTTTCTTTACGTTTATGCTGTACAGTGTACATAAAGTACCCAGTGTCCGTCATTGACAAACATCTCTCCTCCCCAAGCTCATTTTTTACGGTGCAACTACCCTACCAGAGCCGATAGCCGGGCACGCCTGGGCGGCTCCCGTTTCACGCCGCGGCCGACAGTGTCCAAACGAGCGCGTACTGTCGTCCGACGGCAGCCGCTGGGGCGTCGTTACCGGGCACTAATTCTCAGAGGAGCGACCGCGCGCGCCGTCCCCCCGTCACGTGATCGGGCCGCGTGGTGCGCCGTGCGTGACACCGTCGATCACGTGATGTATATTGTTGAAACGGCGAATCGAAGGTGGCCGCTGGGTGTGATTAATGACGCTGGCCGGGCACGAGCTGGCCTCCGGTCCGCGCAGTGCGGCACTCAGGTCCGCGGAGTGCGTGGCAGCAGAGGCGCAGCGCTCTGGTTTAAATCATTTCAAATTAGCAGAATACAAGTCTTGAGGTCTCCTTTGACCATTTTGCGACGGCAACGTTTTGGCCATTTTCTGGCACAGGCGGCACAGCCCAGGCCCCAGCAAAACTGTATCTAGCACCGGTCCCAAAACAGAAAGCCACACTCCACATGCATCACGGCTGGCGCCACTCTGCCATTTCTCCGGTGCGTTACTCACCCATCTCTCTCGCGGCACCTCGGCGACCTGCTGCGGCTTGGCCGGCGGCACGGGCGAGCCGCGCGGCGCGCCCATGTACATCATGTCCCACATCTGGTGGGGCCGCGAGGTGGGCGGCGTGTGCGCCGCGCCCATGGCCGGGTGCGGGTGGCCGTACACCATCTCGTGCCGCAGCTGCGGCAGGCTGGTGGGCGGCGGCGGCGGCCCGTGCCGCCCCATGTCCGCCAACGCCTCGGCCCGGCTCAGCAGGTTGTCCTCCAGGCCGCCGAAGATGTTCCCCTGTCGCAGGAGAGGTGCAGCGTCAGCGGGTGGGGACGGTACCGGGGAGAACGAGAACAGCGACGCTCCTCTGATCCAGTAGCTGACTGCATTTGTTAGCGCACCGTAGAGAGTTAGAGTTAGGATATCTTTTTATTGCGGGAAGGCTTGTGATTTCTGATGTGTTTGTATTACATGCTGTCAAAATTACTCCCTCTTATCTAAGCTGCTGGTGCCGCGCACCTCAGTAGTGATCTATACCCTGACCCGCACAACCAAAAGCATGTCCGCAAATTAAAGAATGTGGCACTTGCAACTGTTCAGTGGTGATTATCTCTTAATATAATGTGGTGACAACTCAAACCTTCGTAAGCAGCTCCACTACGCAAACCCTCTACTTTCCTTAACCAAATATACTTCAAAGGCTGCCGTCTGCCGTTGCGCCGATCGTCGCTCCCCGGAGAAGGGCCGCCAACGAGGGAGCGCTTACGCATGCGCATCACGTGCGAATGCGTCACCGAGTGGGACGGTCGCGCCGCCTCCCCGGCCGCCATCAAATATTCATCCGGTCTCTTCCCGGCGGGCGGCGGCCGGCGCGGGAAGGTCGGAGATAGCGACCGCCGCTCGGCCGGCTCTGATTTAGCAGCCGCAAGTCGACCGCCTCCATCGGCCCACGGTGACGTCACGCACGCCACTTGACAGTCCCAGCCATTCTTGGCGGCCGCCGCTGGCCCCGCCCCCATCGATCTGGGCCAATCACGGCGACGGAGACGGCGGCGGCGGCGGCGGCCGCCTCTGTGATGCATTGATCGCCGGCGGCGCACAGTGAACGCTCCGTGTCGCCGCTAAGTGGTCGACAATGAGCGACACAGGCCCGGCGGTGTGCCGGGGCCGGCGGGCTCTGTGGGCCACCGCCGGACGCCCCCCGACCCGGCGGCAGCGGGCGGCGGCGGACAATGAGCCGACCATCGCGGGGCGGGCACCGACTGCAAACGGCCGCCGCCCCGCAATGGTCGCCGGGCTCTGCTTATCGCTCGGGCGCCACTCCCGAAGAGAGTGAGCGGTCAAATGACCCCAGCTGACCCCAACCGAGGAGCTGGGTCAGCTGGTAATCGGACCGAGTGGGGGCGGCTCGTGCAAAACGAGCAATGAACCGAGCGGATTCAATATAATGGGCATTGTACAGCGTGGTGGAAAACAAACGTTAACCATACTGCAATTAAAATGGCTGGAAAGTGAGCTGTTCAAATTGCGAAAGTGATGCAATCATCGGTATGTGTAGGCATTATCGCACAAAGAGGGAGAGGAGAAAATGCTGTTTTGTAGCGGGTGTTACATGATTCCATGTTATGTTGGACGCCCTGCTCGATAACTGTGATTCTCTGTCGTTATGAAACGTTTGAAAGCTGTTATCTCCTGATGTGCAACCAGCTATCCTTTACTCTCTTTCAGTTACGTATTGACTGTCTCCTTTGCTGTGCCGGATCCTTGCCACACCGTTAAGTAGCACTTAAGTGCTACAGTGCTCCATGTTCTCCGTGTGCTGAGTACCTGAAAGGATCTCGACAGGTACTTCAGTTAAATTTGTCCAAGTTAAGCCGCCTGTGACGTCTTCAGCGTCAGTTATGGGCTCACTCCCACCGGACTGAGAAGTTCTCAGACCTACCGCCGCGCCGTGTGAGGGTATCGCCGGTTGGTCTGCGCAGATGAGCAGTCGCATTGACGATGGCTGACTGGAACACTGTATCATCTTCTGTAGAATCTGTGGAAATGTATTTTTGTGCGACGGAATGTATGTAATATGTTGGCAGTTCACTCTGCTCAGTGTTGTTACATGCAGATTCAGAATGGTCGTTAGACGCTGCATCGGCAAACTCCACAAAAAGCTTCTCTTATTAAAAAGGACTCGACTCGGAATTTGCTTCCTTGTGCATTGCTGTGCAGTCTGCCGTTTAAGGCAAACGTTGTCTTGTCTTCCTTGGCGGGAAGAAATGCCCGAAATATGCTGCTAGATCCACCAATACATTAAATTTTCGTTTTTTTATTTATTTTGAGGCATGAATATGGGTTTAGTGGTTATCGAAACTCTGAAACGCATGACCATCAGCAATGGCATGCTTTGTTCTTGCCAAGTATTAAAAGGAAAGGAAAAGACACAGAAAACCTCGTTTCATTTTAGCACACAAAGCGCTTAGCTGCTTTAAATCAATACGAAGGTCGGCGGTGTGGCCTGCGGTTGAGTGCGCCGGGCATTTCTTTTAGTAGCCATGGCGATTGTCGGCGGCGCGATGGAGGAGCCAGGGCCAGTCGCCAGTGGATGGGGCTCGAGGACAATTACTTGGCGGTGGACATGGACTGGCACTGAGGTTCGGTGCCCGTAGCACGGTGTAACTAACACAGGATCCTGCGGGCCCGCAGTGCCTGTGTACCCGGGGACGGACATGTACACGATTCCGCTTGCCGCTGGTATATACCAAGGGAACACAAGGGCTCCTGCCTGAGGACTGCATGTCGTCAGCCATCTGCCACCAAACGGCACGCGCAAAAAGGACAACTTTGCCCCGGGACACGGCACGGCACATGTCATGTCGGAATGCCATTTTTAATTCAATCCATTTAACGTCGTCGGCGTCAGATAAGAGCGAGTACGCCATTTTGCCGTCGTCGCCGGCGGCCGTCCGTTCGCGGCGCGGCGCCGTGGATTTCATCAGCGCGCCGCTCCGGCCGGCGGCGGCCGTTTAATGCACGCCGCCCAAATGAAACTTGTACCTGCCGTCGGCGGCCGTGCCGTAAACGCTTTCATAAGGCCATTATTGCCGTGGCCATTTAATTAAACGCGGCGCGGCGGGCAGCGTGCCGCGGCGCTGCGGGCGGGTGTGGGCCGCTGACCGCTGCCCTGCCGGTGACCGCGGTGCCCGGTCGCGGCCACGGCGGCTGGCGCGCTGCCCTGCCTGCCGCACAGGCCGAGCCGACCCGCACCGCTCGGGCCGTGCAGTGGCCGCGGCAGTTTATGGCCGTCGATGGGCGCCGACGGAAATCGGCAGCCCGTGGGGAGCCGACGAGTGTGCCGATCGTTCCCAGCATTATTTATGTCGGTCGCAATCGCGGAGTTCGGAAGCTATCGCCCCGACAGCGGTTTGCGAAGGGCCGTGAACGGTAGGTACTGACAATGCGGCGCGCCGCGGCGCTGTGCGTGGGGACGTCTTCTGGCTAGGCAGCTACTGATACGCGATTTAAATAGCAGATTTTTCATTAGAAAGTGCAGCTATGTGAGGTGTATGCAAAGCGCACGAAGAGGTCGCCTTACCTAAAACAGTCCAGGTAACAGTAAAAGTTATGAATGCCTTACACTTCTAATAACGGAACTTCAACGGAGCTTGAAATTTGGATGGACCCATTCACAGACTTCTCTATAGAGAAGTCTATGACGCATTTAAACACAAAAAGAAAGCGGTGATTGGTGCGGAACCAAGTTCAATTCAATTTTTCCTCGTTAGATACACTGTCGTTGATGATTAAGCAATTCTTATTTAAAAAAAAAAACATTTAAGCAGCGCACGGATACCTGTATATAATTGCTATTTATGAGTCCGTCTCTATTTTACATTTATGAGACTCTACACTCCACAGTGGCTATGTCTGTGCAAAACACAATTGCTATTTAGCTTTATTGATGCCCCTTCTTCCTTTCCGTCCACGGAGACCGCGCGACGGCCAGCGACAAGCGCCCCAGAGGTGCACAAATAGCCCAGCCTGTCTCCTACACGGTCTCCGATGGCTCCGGTTTGTCTCACCGATCATCCTTAGGTATATCCCAACATATCTATACTTTCAAGTAAAGCTGGTTATTTACATTACAGTTATTAATATTTACAGGACGTAAACGCTATTCCTGAAGTGTTTTTATTTCTGAAGCTATCCGCAGATATATCGTCATTTTTTTAAGAAGCCGACAGACATACGATATGCGCTGATTTGGGCAAAGTGCGAGGCAGGACTTGGTACACCTCCACCTGAAATGCATACTGGTGGTGTATAAATAGACTAGAGTGAGGCGGTCTGGTTGTTGACTGTGTCTGGAAACACTGGAAAGTCAAGAACTACCCTCATAAAACCACGGGGACGCTCAATTAATTCCTCTCATCCAATGAGGGTTCAGTTCCACATGGACCAGACGGGCGTCCATCTGCCGTCCCATAGCGTCCCTCTCCCGTTTAGTGGGGCAGTTACTACTTGGCGGGCTGAAGGTGAAGTGACGTAACGCTGCAGTGTACGGTGCACATCAGTGTTTCTGTTAAGGAATATGAAACTTTAAGGAGTGTGTAACAAGTTTTTTCCTGGATCAACATTACTTCATTTAGGTAAGAAAACATAATTTGAGGACGATTTTGCAATATTTGCTAATGGGACGAAGCCCATTAAATTGCTATGGAATACCTATCATATTGAGGACCACAAACGTTCAGAAAACGTTTTGACTGTAGGCTTTAAGAAGCGGCTTTAAATCCGTTTATAATCTGCATCGCTGACTACATCTATACTGCAATCTATACACATTTCACGTGCATCGCTAATCTCTTCGCTAATACAGATCCTGGTCTATTTTTTCTTGCTTAGCAAACCTCAGCTGTCTTGTAAAATTTTCACGACGCATTCATACATTACAGTTTAGAGGCAGATAAATCCGATATTCCTGTTTTCTGCGTGGCTCTGTGAGGTCGGTCCCTGCCATGGATGGTGCGAGACCGTCCATGCTGCCGATCGTTCGACGCGCTAGTTTTATTGGGGGTTATATGACCGAAGGACATCGACGGCCGACGGAACTGCCTCGCCTGGCGGGGTCACCAATGTGGAACACGCTGCCGGTTTTTCCGAAGTAAAACTGGAGATTTGCTAGACAAAGCTAGACTAAGTGAAATTAATGTACTTAGCCATATGAAAGCAAATGTTTGACAGAAAGTAAGCGGCCATTTTGTCGCTGCTGGAGACAACTGCCGGAAAACTAACTGCATTCCCGCAAC